TGAAGTGTGATTATTTTCTTTTTTTTGTTCGCTTCCTTTTTATTTGCAGATTGCTCAATAAACTAACAACATTTTATTTATGGGTAAAACATCTTCTACTAAGGCCACTTGCTCCAAATAATGTCTTTAAAGAATTATTCCAAATGCAACAGCTTTTCGAGGTATAATATTGTTGCCAAAGGGCCTAGTTAAATATGTTACTGGAACTTGTGCTGGATACTTCCAGATGATGCCTGTGGTTCCTGCCACTTCTAATATACATGACAACTCTGAACTAAGCATTCTCAGCTGTTGGTGACATAAACACGTACAACATTTGGATTTCAACTAAAGATTCCACGATCCCCAGATTCACATATCTTATGATCCTAACAATGGTTTATTCATTGCATATTAAGCAACTCAGAAAGATAATATTGCTATTCTGGATTTTGAGTATGTGTGTGGTCTGTAGTTTTGTTATTTTGCAGTATTTTCTACAGTATTGCCTTAAAATCATTCAAAAAACATCTGTATCATTTGGGGCTGAATTATCTGAATCTACATCTGTTGTTTTCCAGAAACAGCATCCTTTCCTTGGAGATACTAGACTTTGTTCTATGCCTATTTAAATAAGCCTTGATATCTTAAGCACACCAGGCATGTCTCTGTTAAAAATAATGTCATATTTCTCAAAACAAAATAAGAATGCTCATAGCTGTTTTCTGTTTTTAATTTACAGCCTAAATAAAATAGCATTCTACTTGCAATTAAACTTGCCAGCAGAAATCAGAACCGGAGTTTTATCAACGCTAGGATCCAATCCAGAAACAGTCAATTGAGGCAAATTTCACATGAGTTTATGAGCTGAACTCTTCTTCTTCTTCTTTTTAGGAAATATGAAGAGTATTATGACCTCATTTTTATAAAGTTCCTATAAGATTGTAGAATAACAATATCATAGAACCCTAGATTTTCACAAAAGATCATGATAAAAAGACATTTTTTTTTTTTGCAAATGTGAGCATTTGCAATGAAAGCAATTTTTATGCATTGTGATTCAGCTGCCAGCCTGCCCCCATTTCTGTTGTTGTAAAACATGGATTGTGTAGGTTAGAAGTAAATGGTGATGTGAAGTTTTTAAATGTTTTGCTATTTTTATGCAGAGCTTCCATAATATCTGGTAATTTTCTTAAGAGTTCCTTCATTGTGACGTGGCTGAAGAAAGGCTGCTGTAAGTGATAATATAGATAAACTTTTCATTGATCTTAGATTCCTGGAAGTCAAATAGGATATAAATTTATCTAATAAAAATAATAAGGATCACATGATAAACTGACACCATTATGAGTACTAATGGTCATTCAGTACAGGTAGTCTTCAACTTACAGCAGTTCATGTAGTCGGACTAAAAAGTTCAATCAATCAATTCCAACTTTGCAAGATCTTTTTTTTCCCGCGAGAAGTTGAAATTGACTGATTGATTGGACCTTTTTTTTGTACACGGCAGTGGAAGCCTAAAGCGAAAAGGTTTTATAAAATCCAGCTGAAGGCCTAGTCTGGGGCGACGGCGCGCATACCCACAGAGAGGGCTCTGAGTGCCGCCTCTGGCACCTGTGCCTCTGCTCTAGTGCAAACGACCAGCTGTTTGCAAGGAATATAAATCCTTCCATTCCCCAACATCCAGTTAGAGGTGAAGAAGCTTCTTGGATGAGAAGCGAAATGTCTTCAAAGAAAAAGCCAAGAAAATCCAGTTGCCTCGTGAAAAAGCACTCTTAAGACCTAGTTATTATGATTTATAAGTTATTTATTTATTTATTTATGAAACTTATATACCGCTTTAAGTGCAAGCACTCTCTAAGTGGTGTACACCAGGAAGCAATGTATATATATATTTACATTGCCCCCAACAATCTGGGTCCTCATTTTACCTACCCCGGAAGGATGGAAGGCTGAGTCAACCTTGAGCCGGTGAGATTTGGACCGCTGACCTGCTGAACACAGTCAGCTAAAGTGGCCTGCAGTACTGCACTCTAACTGCTGCGCCACCTCGGCTCAGTTATTGGGATTAATAGTGAGTATTAAAAGAATGAGAACTTCATTGGACTAAGCATGTGGCATAAATGCACTGTAATTGTGTGATTATAAATTTAGTAACAAATTGATCTGGGTTTTGGTTAGATATGATGTATTTTTTGGCATGCTTATGGGAGAAGGCTCCCAAACTAGTGAATACCATCTCTAGGGAGTTGTGCCCATAATCTTCCTTTTCAACTAGGTCTTACTCTTTGAATTGATTAATAATGATTAAATATTTTTATCAACTATGTGTATTTGATCTTTTATTTATGCATTATTTGCTCATTGGAAGTGGCTTAATACAAATATATTTCATTATGAAAAGTAACAAACACTTATTTTTATATTAACAATACTACTATTACTTATACTAATAAATATTAATATTTGTTGATCAACAAACTGTGCAAGAACATGTCTCTATAAGGCATCCGCATCCCAGATTAATGTTGTTATTTCGTCATGGATTTATTCAAATGCTGTAGTTTATTTATTTTCTGTGGACATGTTTATATACATCTGCTCTAGATCACTGGCTTTTTTTCTTCACAGCTGATAACAAATGCAAGACATATTTGGAAAAAAAATTACTCTACTAAGGAGTAACAGTTACTGTATATTATAAAACCCAGAGACTCTTTACAGAACAGCACATATTCTTGAAGATTTATTTATTTATATTTACTTAAATTTATTTATTTACTTATTTAAATTGATTATCTATGTACTCCAAAGGACTTTTGACAAGATGTCCAGTGTTCATAAGGACTTAACAGAGACCATTCTAACTAGCAAATTCAGTATTAGGAATTAATAAGATTTTCATATACTGCTTATTTGATCTAGGAGTTTTCTTTAAGTTATACAATTGTACACATCTGAGGATTTCCTTTGACTTTTAGACACATTTCAGACACTCAGCAGAATCCAACTAAAATCTGTCTCTGTTCTCTCACAAGGCCTTGTGTAAGTAAGGGAAAAGAGGGACTTTAATTATGATGGAAACAGCCAATATACAAGAAGTCACAAGCTGATTATCTCTTTAAGCTATGTTTTGAGTTAGGAAGGTATATGTGTACATATTTGAAAATACACAGAAGCAGCACAAAATGGCTGTGATTTCAGGTTTAAAAAACCCACATTAAGCCCATAAAACAAACTGATCAGTTTTATATTGGCATGCTGCCATTGTGGTTTGTAAAACAGTGGGTATCTCTAAACACAAATCTAGGCAATTGTAACTAATTAAAATGGCTAAACAAAATATGGCTCAGGAAATAAACTCAACTACCAATAGTAGGTAAGTCATGACTTCACACATTTTTTCCTTTCTCTCCTTGCTACTGGCTTGTAGCTGAATAATGCTAAAATATCTGTGACTTTAGTATTAGTTAAAAGAATGCAGTTTTAAGAATTATGAATTCTATGGTTTCATTTGGATTCTCTGAGATAAAAAGAAATTAAAAATAGTTAATTCAGTTATAACCCAATTCCTTTCCCTACTAAAGTGGTAATTTTCTGAGTCTTGCTAAATAAAGCTTCTAAATTCTAAAGTGTTGTGTTATATGCAAAGTTCTATATTGGTTCACTGACAACAAAGTGATATACTTTAGAGAAGCAGCTAATATCAGAATCTGGAACAGAAATATATATTCTAGCCCCATATAATAAAATTATAAAGTGAAATCTGAAAACTTTACAAACTTTCACCAAGGACAAAATGAATGTGTAGGCAAAGCATGACTATTTATTGCAGCATAAACAAGTATGGCAATCAAAATAATCTAAATCTGAGTGGCAGCATTTGTTGTAAACTGTTTATGTATTCATCTTTCATAGTTTTGTGTGTTTACATTCATTATGTAACAAAACATTATTGGTAGAATGGTATTTGGAGTGAAGAAGCAATATAATACATGTACAGTGCTGTGTTTCCCTGGTTTATTATGTTTCCACTTACAACTCAACTCCCTTACACAAAACACAATGGTCTGGCTCATGCACCATGTTAAATCACAGTGTGCCTTAACTATGATTAAAATAAGTAGCTGGATTCAGACTTTGCATTAAGCCCAAGCCAAGCAAACTACACTCTGACTTAGAAAAATGGAATCTGCCTTAATTCCTGAGGTGTTTGAAGACTCTTGAACTTATGCCAAGAAATGCTTTCACCCAAACCTGAAATTCAGCCATATTTACTGTACCCTAGTGCAGAGGTCCCCAACCTTGGCCACTTTATGACTTGTGGGCTTCAACTCCCAGAATTCCTCAGCCAGCCACCTTGGCTGAGGAATTCTGGGAGTTGAAGTCCACAAGTCATAAAGTGGCCAAGGCTAGGAACCCTTGCCCTAGCGTCTTTCAAATTTGACAGCTTTAAAGATGTGTAGACTTTAACTCCCCGAATGTCCAGACATCTTGAGTTCAATACGGTTGAAAAATTCTGCTATAGATACTTCTCCAGAAAAACCTTTTCCAATGACACGCAACTCTTCTTTGGTTAAAGAAGATAAAAAGCTGATTCCTTCCCCACTCTATGTTGGCACTTCCCGTCATCCTTCCATGTGCTGGTGTCCTGGGATCTGCCACCAATCCTATATCAGGGGAAGGGTATCTCCTTTGCTGAACCAGCAGCGGTTAGAATGCAGTACTGCAGGTTAACTCACTGCTCACTCCGGGAGTTCGATTATGAGCGGCTCAGCCTTCCATCCTTCAGAAGTCGGTAAAATGAGACCAACCCAGTGAACCATCCCCGCCTCCGCTCGACCGACCGAGCAAGTTCTCCGAGCCGTTTTGCAACGCCTCATCTCCTTCTTCCTACCCTCCGCGCGCTCAGCCAATCAGATGGTTTTCGCCGCTGCAGGCACGGGCTAGAAAGCTGAGGGCGGGGCTCCAGCGGCATCACGTGAGCCGGTCGCTCGGCGAACGGAGAGGAGCCCGGCAAGATGGCGAGAGTCTCTGAGATGTACGACGTGACTTGGGAAGGTAAACCGGCGGCCGTGGAGCGAGGGGAGGAGGGGGGAGACGTAAAGAGATGGGGTGCTTACGATGTTTCTTTAATTGTGTGAAGGAGTTGTTCGTAGCTCCGGAGGGGCTTGTGTTCGCCGCTTGTATTCGTCCCCGTCACTTCTCTCCTCGCAAGGGAAGTCGTTTGGAAATTCTTCCTAGGTCCAATTCTCAAAGATAACTTACGCATAATTCGGAGCAATTAACCCTGTAATCGCCTTCACGTTTTCTCATTTGCCCATCGTAGCGTGTTCAAAGATATACATAACCTTTCACAGTCCTGTTTAGAAGAGAAGGAAGGTGGTAGAGTCTGATCCACTCGGAAGTTACGGATATAAGATAACAATCCCTACTTTGATCCCCTCCGGAGACACTTGGCGACTTCCATCCCAAGAATGGAAGGGAAAGAAATTATACACCGAAGAACCTGAAGTGTGAAGGTGAAGTATTTCACGTTTTCCTGTGTTGAAGATTTTTTTCCCTCTAGGTTTCTTTTCAAAGCTATCACCTTCTAGAAAGATTTTGTCGGTTTTTTCCGGGCTTCTTGAATGACAGACACTTGTTTGGGTTGGCACACTAATGCGAGCCACAATGTTGGCATGATATGTAAACCAAGCCTTTTCCTGAATCAAAGTTAATTGCAAAAATATAATACATAATCAGAAATGTATTCGTGATACTCCCATAATATGTAGTGAAGATGTTTTCTGAACAGAATCTGTCTTACTTTGCTTTCAATTATGGGATAAGCAATAATATAAGTAGTATGATCTTGAATATGTAAAATTAGAGTGGAGGGAATGGATCTTAAAGTGAATAGGCTGCCTGCCTTTTTTCTTTCTTTTATATATGTATTAATATACTTACCAAAGCTCATTAAAAAAGAAATGATGGAAATGTGGATATCCTTTCACTGATCAAGCTTTCAGAACAACTACTTTGTGAAGTATGAATGTAAGCAAGTTATTCAGATAATTTTGCGCAAACATAGGCCTTGAATCTTATGTGGAATGCAGTTTTAGGACACAAGACTGATTTTTATTTATTCATAAGTTTGGGTATATACAGAACTGGGCACAGACCAGTCTATTAGTATTTCTATTGGTCTATTAGTACTTCTTCTGAATTTAGGATAGTTAGTAGGCGAATTTATTTATTACAGATGTATTGATTCTAAGCTATTAGTCTCTTAAGAGTGGGAAAAAATAGTTTCAAATTCAGTTCCTATGGTATAAATACTTATACAATCTTTACAATGGAAATGCCGCAGCACTTCCTAAAGAAATGGCTGACTTTCATATTTCTCCAAAGAGTCCATGAACAGCACCTGTTATCTTCGCAACAGCCCTTTGAGGTTAATTAAATAAAAGTGACTAAATACGGTTTGCATAACTGTTTCCTGTGAGACAGAGGAAGACATTGATAGCAAAATACTTTTGCCTATTTACCTGGAGGTAAACCACCTCTAAAAATATGGGACATTTTAGCTTTAGGGTATTGTCTTTTTATTGTTATTTTGGGCTTGCTTTGGCCTAGGATCATGAATTATGTGAGTTTGTCCGGGATAATAGATAGCTAATATAGGTGCAGTAGATAGGTGTTTTAACTGTAATTATTAAATTAAATTTCATTATTATATTGAACCAGGTTGGTCTATTAGTTAAAGCACCAGACTAGATGCCAGGAGACTGTAAGTTCTAGTTTGGCCTTTAGCATGAAAGTTGGCTGGGTGACTTTGGGCCAGTCACTGTCTCTTAGCCCCAATCCCTTCACAGGTTTGCTGTTGTGAGGAAATAGAAAGGTATGTTCACTGCCTTGAGTTATATATAAAAATAATACAGGCATGATAAAAAAATGTTGTGAGCTAGTAACTTTGAGTTGACCATAAATTAACCAGATTCTTCCACTTTATATTTGTAATGGTATGTGGGAATGACCTTGAGAGATGAGGGGAAGAGATGCTACCTAGGGGGTGATCAGATAGAGCAATGGGAGCCTGCAGCTGAATAATGTGCAAAGAAAGATAATAATAGTACTAATCTGCCCTAATTTATCAGGTGGTAAAAAGAAACAGCATGAGATTTGTACTTTCAGACTTGCAAGATTGTGTTAATGTAGCCTTAAAATAATGTAGAATTAACTCATGTGTTTCTTGTCAGATCTATTTGATGTATATTGCTGTTCCACTTATTCAGTTTCTTACCATGTTTTCTTCAAGAAATAAAGCAAACTGTAATCTTTTTTCCATTTATTTGAGTTAGCCATGTGTAAATATGATTTTAAGATTTGTATATATTTTATGTATTATATCCATATAATATATATTCCTATAATTATATATTTATATATATTAGAGCAAGGCATCAGGCTAGAAACCAAGAAACTGTTTCTAGCCCTGCCTTAGCTATTGAAGCCAGCTGGGTGACTTTGGGCTAGTTGTTTTCTCTTAGCCCCAGGAAGGAAATAAAGGCAAACCATTTCTGAACAACCTTGCCAAGAAAACCTTAGAGACTTATCCAAACAGTCTCCAAAAATTGGACACAATTGAGAGAGGGAAAAAAATGTGTGTGGGTGTATATGTATACATACACGTGTGTGTGTGTGTGTGTGTGTGTGTGTGTGTGTGTGTGGGTGTATGCAAATATAGATAGTGTTAAGCGCGGGAAAATCAGGAAGTCCAGGCAATTAAAAATATAAAGGTTTATTGCAAGTTCATATTCTCTACAAGAATCTGAACTCCTAACAGTCAAAGCAAATAGGTAAGAGATAATGAAATTCAAGGCTTGACTTAGATCTCTTCTGGGCATGAAGGGATGTAAGACTGAGGATGCGTTTGACCCCTTCCTTGGGCTCAGCCTGGTCATCTCCTACAGGTATTATTTATTACTGCTATACATGTAATTATACATCAAAAAACCATAAAAACAGGATAGGAAAGACTAACTCTATTAAGATAAATTAATCAACAATTCTGTGTAGATAACAGTATCAACTTATATGATCCTTGAACTTCGTTATTTCTATATGGATTTCCCATGTTAATAACATATATTTGAACCTATCTCGTATATCAGACGCATGTAATCACAAAACCCCACAACATTGTCCAACAGTGGATTAGGTTGGACTAGCAGGGGTGTGTCCCAATGAGCTGCAGCACCAGAGAGAGGGTATAGAAGTGCATAGAAGTGAGATAATCCTTCACCTATCCATCTTTGCCTAAATTTAAGGGGAGATCAGAGTTTATAGGAGATGGTTTATAGAAAATAGGGGAGGCAGTTTCCATTAAGCACAATATTTGTTAAATTCAACAGAGATTTTATGCAAGCATATTTTACACATATGTAAAATGGCAGGTAAGATTTTATGCAGGGGCAGAAGGATACGGAGTCCAGGCAGATTTTATCTTTTGTATCTGAAATCCATTAAATTAAGGTTTACTACAGTCTTACAAATTCACTACATTTACTTCTTCCTCTCTTTCCAACAACAAAATGCTCTGAGTAGGATTGACCATTTTCAAACTTAGTGCTGGGTTTACTAAGAATTATATAGGGCATATTCAGAACTAGAAACATTTTTGAATTTACTATGACTGATACTGCTTAATATTAATTCAGGTTCCCATTTATTTTTAGTGAAAATGTGTCATTCATATATTTGCACAACAAAATGTCACAAGATTAATGAAAGGCATGGGATTAGTGAATAAACACATGGAGGTGAGGGAGAGGGAGTAAGTAATTTCAGATATTCAGGCCTCATTTCAAACTAGTCTTAGGAAATCTGGTCCCTCTCAGCCTTGAATTGTTTTGATGCCTTAACATTAACAATTTGCTGAGTTCATATATCAGGCCAAACCATAAATTATGTTTTACAATTAAAGCAGGTGAGTTTATAAACCATATGATTTGATTCAATGTATAAATCAGATCTGTCTCTAATAATAATACAGAGTTTCAGAACTATATGGACTACTGAAACAATGTAGCTCATTTGGCTATATTTAGCATGTCTAAATCCAGCTGATGTAACTTAAGAAACCTTAATACCTTATAGCAGAGCATAATGTGTTAATACAACTGATTAATTGGAAGAAACCAATACCATCCTTGCTTCTGGATCATGTTATAACTAATTTCAATTCATGAAGAGGGACGCAGGATTAGAATGTCATGTTATTTTAAAATTTGAGAGGAAACATATACTTGTCTACCCTCATAAAGAAGGTAGAGAGAACATCCAAAGACTGGTGCAACTTTTTCTGATCATCTCTATCGTTTTTAAATTAAATTAATTTAATTCAGGTTTAAATTATTACCCGAAGCGAATCCTATTATACAGAGGAAAAGCCTTAAACTGTTACACTCATACATCATACTTTTAAATTAAAAAAAACCTTAAGAAATATTAGATTATCCCAATATTTAAGATCAGGAGAAAGTGAAAGTACTTTTCAAACAAACATATTCTTTTTAGGATTAGGACCTTTCTGAGTGGTACAGGGAGTCTGAAGAGAAAAGGAGGCATTTTTCATAAATGAAATTTACAGGAGGTGCCTCTTTACCAAATGTCATTTTGTAATGCCAACGTCCCCCCTTTTTAGTGAGTCTTAAGAGAGTATCCAAACTAATATCCATATGTGGCTAAGTATAAAAGAATATTTAGCTTTACTTAGCCTTCATTTTTCTGGAATTTCACATTTTTGTTTCAGTGTTCATAGTCACACATTTAAAATAGAGGTATAATACAAATATAGTTATAAATGAGAAATTCTGTAAAGGAGATAAAATTATCAGCTTGAATCTGATGGTTGATTACTATCCTACCATGAATGTGTATTGTACATTACTGAATAAAGACAGAACCATAATGAAAATATTAAAATAAAACTCAGAGGATAATCTTTCTTTTTAAAAGCTTATTTAAATATACAATGAACAAAAACATAACTAAAAACACTCAGAAATAATGTGTGAAGAAAACTATACAGGTGGTCCTGGACTCTCAACCATAATTGAGCTGAGAATTGTGGTTATGCGTCATTGTGGATATAAAATGGGACACCATGTGTCTTGATTTTATAATTGTTTTACAATGGTCATAATCATAAATCAAGCTACCATATGGTATTTCTATTCCACCATGTTATTACAAATTTAAGAATATATCAGTAGGTGTAATTTTTACAATCAGGTGCTATAGCTCTCATTTCCATTTTTGAAAGAATTAAATTTATTAAAGTAATTCTAGCTGTGAAAAAACTTTTACATGCTTTGATTGAAGTATGTTATCTTGTAATCTCACTTTTAAAAGTAATTCTTAATATTTCCAATAATTTTGAAAGACTTGCAACAATGATGAGCGTTGTATCTAATTTGGTAATAGAGAGCCATGTACAGTGGAAAAGAGTTCTTCCTGTTCTCTATGTATTTTAAAATCTGGTCCTTTAACTTATCTTAGGCAGCGATATTTGTCATACTGCTGGGAATAATGCTCTTTGAAAACTGTACTATTACTCGTGTTCTTTTAAAAGATAATTATCAGATGACAAAACTGGATTGTCTCCTTTTTTTCTCTGTATTTGAAATCCTGTAGTATACTCTGACATAGATTTTTTTTTTGGATTGGAATTAGTCTTACATAATAGATATTCTACTAGTGGTGAAGTAAATTCATGAACACAGCTTTTAATATTTTAATCTCAGTCTCAGTAATAGATACAATATTTACTCAGATTGTTTATGTCCATTTTTTAATTTCCAGGGATCAACTTGAGTCAGGAACCATTTAGCTCTACTCAGGCACATGAAACATAATATACATTGGTTTTGTTGATTTTTAAAATAAAATGCAGTATGTTTCCAACATACTGAGATTTTTTTTTATGTGGGAGAGGGAGGGGTGGAATAGGAACAGATTGTAGAAAGAGGTTTATTTAACCTAAAATTAACCAACTAATTCAGAGATATGTATTTCATATTAAATATCAGGTAAAATAATTCTGCAAGTCTTTTGCATGTATTAATAATAACAGCACCAATAATAATTGATGTTTTCTTTAGTAAGTACTGATTTTTTTAATCATAAAATTGCTAGTCTAAAACAAATCTTCAGAGGACTCTGCAGTGCATAGTGATTTTAAGAAACTGTGGAAAGCCTTCATGATCTAGTCTATACTTTGATGTTTTTAAGCTTTAAAGTTTTATATTATTTAGCTATATTATTCTTGACATTTACTTTTATTAGAGCCACATCTAGGATAAACTTTAAAAAAATAAACTGTAGAAAGAAATCTTGTTCCTGCTCTTTTTCACGTATTAGGATACCTTGTTAATTAAGAAAAATTAATATTTTTAAAATATAAAGTGTATACATATATGTTGCTTTATTAATTTTAATAGTAATATTTTTCTCCTATGCTTATATTTTGATTTAGGAAATAGTAAGAAATATACCTTTATGAGTTAATATTACAGTTTTATTGGTTTTATTAAAATAAGAAAATTCTATCAGTTAACCATTTAATAATTTATTCTTTAGAGAGTTCTGAAAACAATCTGAGAATTCTCAGAAGTATAAATGGGATGTGTGATAGTGTTGTCTTTTATCCTATAATTGAATATTGTCATTTTAAAATAAAACTGTTCGGCATTCAGAGTAAGCTCATTTTAATCAGAAGACTATGGTTCACATCCGCAAGAAATGGTTCCCAGAATAATTATTAATTGCAACAAATACTCCTTGGAGAGTTGAAAGAATAATAGTCATAAAATAGCAATTAGATTGTTTCTAAATAGTAAGATAATATTTAGAAATTTGCAGTTTCATTTCTGTATGATGTTTTTGTATTGCTATGTATTTTGGCATAAAGAGGGTAGTAATTAAAAATCAATTTGGAGTTTTATACTCTATAGGTTTAGTCATTCCAAAAAAGTAGAAGTATGCTGAACGATAGCAGTAAGTTTCCAATTTTAATTTTTGTTGAAAGGCAGTGTGAGAATAACACGAGAAAGAGAATTATACATATGTGTTCATATGAAAGCCATAATCCAGCAATGATTATTTGTTTAAATGAGATATTGAAATAATAATAATAGAACAATAGAAACAACAGAAATAATAGAAAACAATAGAAATATTGAATACTATTGTTATTCTCTTCTAATTGTTATTTTGTTTCTTTCAGAGATGCGAGACAAAATGAGAAAATGGAGAGAGGAAAACAATCGGAACAGTGAGCAAATTGTTGAAGTTGGAGAAGAGTTAATTAATGAATATGGAGCTAAGCTTGGTGATGACAGTAGGTCAAAACTATTTTACTTCTCTTTATTAGTTAATTTTTCTGATGTGCAGTTGTATATGTTGTGTTCTATGTTTTATTAGTATCCAGTTAAAATTTGTACTTTGTAATAAAGGCCAACAAATTCAGATATATGGATTTATATTAAAATATCAGGTAAAATAATTAATATACAAGATCCAATCTGGGTTAGTTACAGTTAGTAGACAGTTGATTTCTCCATCATGCCATCTGTTTTACTTAACTTTTTGGTGCCATATTGATATACAGTATGTGCATAAACTTTGTAAGCTTAAAATCGCCCAGTATTCCTAGTCTTCTGATTTTTACAAATATAGTGTGTGGCTAGGAGTTTGTAGCTACAACAGATTAAGTTACTCTCTATTCATAGCTTTGGGAAATATCTTTCCCCACCCCTTCCAAAAAACATTAAACAAATTTCAACTAGTCAAACGTTTAGGGATTTGAAATAGAGAAGTTTATTATTGAAAATTAAAGCTAATTCAGCGACGGGAAGTCAGTATGAAGGTTGCTTTTACAATAAAATTGGGCAGTTCACAATACAAATTCTTCCCAGAAAGAAACTTGGCATTCCGTATTTTATACTAGAAGGGAATCGTTGAAAAGGATGTTTTAACGGAGCAATGTATGCAGTGCAGTGTAAAGCATCCGAGTGTACAGGGTTGATTAAGATTCCTATGTAGACAGGAAGGGAGTAAAAAAAAAGATTTGATTTTAATTAATTTATTTTATCTTTATTTTTTTATAATTCAGTTAACCTAATTCATTCAATATGAGCAATTTATTTTTGGCAGAGGTCTCAAAGATCAAGAATATTCCTTATTTAATTTTAGAAAGTCTTGATCTTAGTAATACTTAAATTCAACAAAAAGTAGTTTTGTGAAGCAGATTCATTAAATGCTAAATCAAAAAACTTTTGTTCTAGGATATTACTAGAAGTAACCATGAGTAGTGAAATCCTTTTTTCCTTCACAAGAATAAGTGAATAATGAACTTGTGTGGAATTGATTATGTTGGAAAGAGTGATCGTCTTATCAGAATAGTTGAATATACTCATTGATCCTTTTTTGGTGAATTACTCTATGAATTTACAGTAACATCTTAATAACATTCATGAATTTAGATAACACAACATTACTTCGATTACAAACAACAGTATTTTGTTTTAATTCATTTGTGGTATATTTCATTCTTCCAGAGGTTGCAGTAAATGAATTGTCATTTCTTGCTGTCATACCTTTTATAGTCTGCATTAATAGCTTATACTTTACTACTCAGAAAGCATTTTTATTTTACTTAGAAAGTTCATCTATTCTCAGAATCCTTTCAGGTTTTACACAAGAGAAATGTAAAAGCTATTGCAGATATGTACTTATCTGTGATCTTTTTTTCTTTTCTTAATGGAAGCTGAACGCCCTGAATTTTCATGGGAGTTGAAAGATATTCAGTTTATCAGATTGGGTTATTTTTAGTCAAGGGGTATAATCTGAATAGTAAATATATGAAAAAGAAGGAATGCAGTATCAACATGGATTTTCATTAACTTCCATAGCCCAGGATGAATAATTCTATGACTGATAGCATTTTTTAATTCTTTAGAGCAAGATTTCTCTTTGGAGCATCTTCCATGAACTTTAGAATTCAATAAATACAGCAACTTAGGGATTTTATAAAAACATTATTTAAAGGAAATAAAAGAACAACATTGCACCTATATCAGCAAAGTTTTTTCTGAAAACTATTATTTGCCAAAACCACAGACTGTTTTTTTGAGGCTGGGCATTTCTGAATCATTCCATAGTTGATTTGATATCCCATGTTGCTTTTTCAATTCAGCTTTTGAAATAAACCAGTGGATAAAAATACATGGGCAATGACGTTAAAACATGTTTAGAAAGTACTTATACTTTATTTATTTATTATGCTTCACTTATTTGGCCAAGTGTGGTTAGACACACAAGGAATTTATCCAAATATTCAGGTTTAGCACTAGTGTGATTGGTTTCCGTAAGATTAAGTATACTAACCTTATAAAAAGCAATATTTCCTACAGTTTGCTATGAGCTGAATAGCAGGTATGTGGAAAAAACAATTCTATGCTTCACAATATTTTGTATTATTTAGTTTGGATAATATATGAGCAAGTGATGATCGCCGCGTTGGATTGCAGCCGAGATGACTTGGCATCGGTAAGTGTTCGACAGACTTCTTATGCAAATCCAGGAAATTTAATCTTCGCTAACACAATAGGTAGGCATTCTCCTTATTTTCTTTTGCAGTCCATTACTGAAATATATTTCTGGAGTCTACCTTTAGGGCTATGCAGTGCTTTTTTTCTAAAAAAAAAAAAAAAAAAAAAGGTGCCGGAACTCACACACGTCATACAACCCGCCTTCTACCCTACAAGGTTCCATCCCAAAAAGGTGCCGGAACTCCGCTCTGGGTGTTCTATGAGAAAAAAAGCCCTGGAGCTATGTAAATCTTGTGAAATACACTAACTTCCTTTTGAAATATCTATGTCTTTTCTGAAACGCATATGACTGATTTGGAAAGTGGCTGTGCAAGGACATATTTCCTAGGTGTCCAGGAGCAACATTCAAAAATTTTGAATGTTTTCACTATGGCTTCCTGAAACTCCTTATGGAAGAAGGAATCCTATGAAATCGCATATTATATCAAATAAGAAGCTGCAATGGAAAAGAGGAGTAATTAAAAACTCTGAGCTTTTCAATTTTTAAGATACTGTTTTGAAAATGTACCGAATTTATTCTGGAAAGTTAATAAAACAATGTGATTTTGGGTAGCCAGACATTTTTGTGAAGGACTTTATATTGAAATATTTGGAATTTAAAGTAGAATATATTTATTACAAAATATAATTGCATTTATTTCTTGGACTTTCCAGTTTGCATGTTTTAAAAATTGAGGAGACCTCTCAGTGCTTTGAGCATATTATTAATTCAATAGTTTAAACATGCATTAATTATATGTCCCTACAAAGCTATTCCTTTTTTCAGAATTATGTACATTGCTTCTTCAGATTTTGTTTTAAAATGTGCTATGATGATTGCTTGTTCTTCTTTCCCTATGTTGGCACTCACATATGATTTAGTTGTATTTGTTTCTAATAACAGTAATGTGTATTCATTCAGTTTTCACAGTTTCCTTCTCTCAATTATACGCAAGTTATCTAGCAGGGTATATTGAGACTGATATTTTAACTTTAGTCCCTTTTCTGTAGAGGATATACTCAAATGTTTCATGTACATTTTCTTGTTTACCTGCTCTAGAAATGTTGCTCATGCTCATGGAAATATTTTTGTCTTTTTGGACAAAAAAAGAAGAGTGCTATAAAATCAGTTAATATATTTCTTGAGGTGAAAGAGCGGATGAATATTAAATTTGTACAGTGTTTTCAGTCCAGAATTTTGAATAGCACAATAGTGGATTCATTTTTGTCTTTTATGTATTCTTGGGCACTGCATTTAAAATTAAGTATTCTTTTTATTGTTTCATTATAAAATAAAAATACAGAAAAAAACAAAAGGTAGAAACTAAAAGAAAAAGAGAAACTAAAGAAAAAAATGACTTCTGATGTTTTTCAGTGCAGTAAAATAAAAAAAATGTAACCTCAACCTTTTACATTTTGCAATGTTTCAATCCATTTCTATAATTACAAAATTATTCTAATTTTCAAAACCTGAAATTAAAGGTTCATTTGTCTAGTTTTGAACAAAAACTCCAGAAGTAGTTTCAAATAGAAATGAAACTCGATAAATTCCTCTCTTTGATTAAAACACTCTCACCATATCTGCTAACTCTATCACCTTTACCATCCACTCTTCCATTGTGGGATTTAGCGTGATTTAGAAATTATATATTTTAAAATACTTGATGTTTTAATAAGAGATACAATGAAACTTCTGGCTGAAGAACTGAGTGTGGCTGTGTTGTTCTTCTCAATAGTTGGTTCCATCATAGTTCTCATACAGTCATAATTTATGTTTAAGCCTAATCTCTTTAAAATAAACCTACCACTGTATTTAGAAAAATTAAGCATATTTTACAGAGTGAAAGTAAGGAAGATTATACACATTGTTCATTCTTTCATTAGTTTTATCACATTGGCCTTCGGTGATAATGCTTTCAAAGTTTTTTTTTGAATAAACTGGGATAACAATTATATATATTTGTAAGCTAAATTTAGGATAGCTCAAGATGGTAATTAAAATAGTGTTTTTCATTGAAACCCCCAATTAGTTAAAATAAAACAGCTGTACAAACTAGCTTTCCAAAGTTCAAAGCAAACTTTATATAATTAGAAACAAGGAATAAAATCATGCTAAATGATCTCTGATTATATTAAGCCAAAACCACAGAGCACAAGGCCAGGTTTAATAGTAACCTTAACTTTTCAATACCACTTGTTCATTAACTGAGAATCTCTGTATATTGACTGAATTTTGCCTCATTTAGCCCTGTCCAATTCATATTCATTATAGGCAGTGATTTAATTACCAATATATGTTAATATATGTAGCTCAGATTGAATTATGGAGACCTTGGTGCTCACTGAGTTTGGTTGTTGTTTACAGACATTTGGTTACCCAAGTACCTAATATCTTCTACTGTGTATAAATAGAGAGCAACCCTTCTAGCATTGAAGATGTTACCGACTCGGCTAACAAAAGTTTGCAAACAAATAAGCTCAGAGATCATCCATGATTTATTTATTCCTATGCTTCACATAAATTTGATATGAAATGCATCTGGATACATCAACCCAATCCAGTGGCTTTATTTAGATAGAAGTTACAGAAAGAAAATAGAGTTGCCTAAAAAATAGTAGATTTTATCACAAAACAGTAGCACTGTACCAACCAGCAAGGTGTAAAATATACCCTCCTCTTCTGGGATTACAGTGTTTTTCCTGTACAAATACTTTCTTAAAACTAGTTAAAAATCAGACCAAAATATTCTTACTCTCTTCCCCCTCTAAAATATACATTATGACTTAAATATGCTTGGCACCAGTTTGTTTTTTTCAGGAAAGGTCAGACAACTGCATCTTAAAATAATCAGCATTTGCACAGTAATATATTTACAGTTTTTAGAATTGTAAAGAAAACTTTAGGTTTTTATTGAATTACACCCTTAAAACTCAACAACTGAGAGACCTGTATTGGGAAGAAATGTTTGCCATCAGTTCCAGATGAAACTTGTATTTTGATCTTCTAACGCTGTTTCTTCCAAAGTGTAACATCTCCTATAACTAGGGGTCTTTGAATTCTTTTACCTTATGTCTCTCAAGTGACCATATTACCCATATATGCATGTACTTTCACAGATTTAGTGAGATCATCTATTTTTTAGAAGTCACCAATCATATTTTGCAGTTTGGATTTTATTTATTTATTTAAATTAATTAATTTCTATAGCTGCGACCTCAAACAAGTGAATCTGGGCTGCAAACAATCATAAAATAAATTTAGGTATCAATAAAGGAGAATATTTGTAGCTTGGAGTTGAAATGCGGGGTCCTTGGTGTTGGTTGTTTACTTGCAGACGTTTCATTACCCAAATTAACACTGATGATGTTACATAGTTTGTATAATGAAATGTCTACAACCAAGTTCAGAGAACACCAAGGACCCCTCAAATCTAGATATTCCCCGAGTTGGCTATTAGAAACATAGAAGAAAACACAGACAGAAAAAAAATCTAGTGATCCATCAAGTCTGACCATTGAGAGTTTTTTTGTTTTCAATTTATTTATTTCAATTATTATTTTTATATTTTATTAATTTTAATTTATTTTTAATTTTTGTCAGATAATTGATATGTGCTTATCCCATGAATGCTTAAACTCAGTTACCGATGATCGACCCACTACCTCCACTGGAAGTTGGTTCCAAGCTTCCACTATTCTTTCTAACATTAATTTTGAATTTTCCTCCTGTCAGTATGAATTTATATTTCCCTCTACCCTCCCCCCCCGCCCTGTGTTCTTGACTTGGATGTGCTTTTTAGCTGTGAGCCTTTTGTTAAAGAGCAGAATCCAACTCTATTCTTTTTACCTTCCTTTGTATCTGTAATCCATCATTTGGTCTTTCAAAGTCAATTCCAGTCTTTTAATTGGACTCCTTTGTGAGATCTTACCTTTGCTACCACTTTTATTCTTTACGATCACACGTCTTGTCAAATGTCTTTTCTGTTGTAGTTTTTATATTTAGAAACACTGGCTATAAAACATTTTATCTTTTTAGTCTATATAATGTTCATGTTTTATTATTTTTGATAGCTTCTAATCATGTTTCCAAGCACCGATTGCCCGAAAGTAGTTTAATTTGGAATTTGTTTCTGTCTAACATGGTATATTGTATTTGCATTTAATAGCTGTGACTGACTTAGGTAAAAAAAAATAATAGTTGTTTTCATTTTAAATAATAGATTTTACTATAGTAAATCCAAATTAAATGTGACATAAATTTTTATATAAAATTATGCACAAAGAGCTGAATTACTGAATTCTGCTAGCAGTACAAATTGCATTGTATGTTTGAAAAGGAAAAAAAAACCCCTCATCTATAATTAGTTATATGTTCTTTTAGGTTTTTTAAAACGGTATTTTGGTTATGTTTGTAGCTTGGTTTGATCTATATAATGGCTTCTTTCAAATATTGTTGAAGTGTTAATTTGATATTTTGATTGTACTGGGATGGATCATTGCCAGATGAATCTCTTAGTTACTATATTCAAATAAACATCACTCAAACATTTGAAAATTACATTCTTTACCTACTTATTTTTTATATGAATTTATAGTATTGTCTGCAAGAACTAAGACGGCAATTCCCTGGGAGCCACAGAGTTAAACGGTTAACTGGTATGAAATTTGAAGCCATGGAGAGGTAACTGAATTCTAAAGAATATTTTCCAGATGCAGCCTTACAAGACGTCTTCCAGAATATATAAATATAAAAGGCATGAAAAATTATGTAGTTGAGAGTAAAGTTTGATAATTATAAATAAAGATGAATGAGAATGGAAACATATTAGAAAATGTAATAGAAATGTATATTAAAAATTAAGATTATGCAGCTTCTTAAATTTAACTATCTTTTAGAGACAGTAGCTTGGTCCAATTTGTTTGACATTGTCCTGTAGTATAGAACACTTTGTTGAAGAGTTCTGTGTCAACTCATAATCAATTATATAAGCTGGAATGTTCACAATTTGTTTTCTTAAAGAAAAATAAATATTACTAGTTCTGAAGGAACATCTTAATTCTTTTTCTGACATCTTTCAGATTTGAAACAAATGGGATAATGATCTCATTCATATTCTGTTTCTAATTATTTAAGGAACCTTTTTGAATATAAACTGACTAGATGTCAGACCATTAAATTTAACATTTCTGATGAAAAGAGTGAAGTGGGATAATCTTACATTTCTGACCATCATAGGATCCCCATAATCATGTAATCATGCGTTTATGACACTTGTATCATTTTACAGTGACATGTTTGCACTTTGTGCACTTCTCAACTAGCTTCCGACAAGCATAGTCAATGAAGAAGTCAGTAAAAGCTCAAATTGTGGTCACTTGTTATCTCACTAACAACCCTGGTGATTCAAGTAATGTGTGAATGGAAAGTAACATTGGAAGTCTGTTGCAGTCATGTGATGTTTCACTTAGAGATCATGTTGCTGGTCCCAATTATGATTGCCAAGCAAGAACTACCTTTTAATAGAATATGTGTGGTATGACTTGCTTTCTAGAGGGTGAGAAGTTGTTATCATGAGATGTCACTATTATAGTTAGAATAAGTTGCTGAAAATGTTTGAATCTGTTTCTGAAAAAGCTATGTGAAGTGAGAAGAGTCTAGGTATGAAGAAAATTAGACTCTAATAATACAAAAAAATATACATTTCAGTAATAACACACACACACACACACACACATTTAAGTTCTAGCTTAAATTCTTAGCATCTCCATGAGTAAATCCATGAGTAAATCTGCTGAAATCTAGTAAAGCAATAAAGATGTATAAACTTTTTACTAAGCAATCCTCCGGGCAAGTTAAAACAATTTATTAATCAAGATAAAAAGTCTGCTCACACCTGATAACAAAGATATTAATTGTTCTTAAGTGCTGTAGTGTCTGCACTGAAGACAGTGGCTTCAAATGCTCCAAAATACAATATAGCTATTTCAATGATTTCAGATGAACAACATTATACATATTTATGTCCATATCCATATGTATTTTCCAGCAAGTTTGCACATCTTATTAGGTTAGGATGACTGGCTTTAAGTATATAGAGATGTTAGAACTCTGTTAAATTTACCTGCAGGTGTTTTCTGTTCATATTTGTAGCTATGATGATGCAATACAGTTATATGACAGAATTTTACAAGAGGACTCAACAAACACTGTAAGTAAAATAGAAAAATAAGCATTGCCTTTTTTTCTTTGCCTTTATATTGTAACACTTTCCTTCTTGTTAATACTTTGTGTTAAAATTCCAACATGAAAATTACCAGATTTAATAAATTTCTCTGATGAGAAGCTGATGCTCCTTGTCTATGTGGTAATAGAGCACGGGTGTCAAACTCAATCGTATCACATGACGTAGCGTGACGTATTGCGACGCTTTGCCTTTGCAGAGCCAGGAAGGCGTGGCCTGCATGTGATGCATCTGGCCCGCGGGCCGCCAGTTTGACACCCCTGTAATAGAACATTGGTATGTTTTTATGCTTATAGTAGCCTAATATATTTTGAAACTTTAATGAAATTTGTAAAAGTCAGACCATAATTTTATATAGTTGTGAGACAAAAATATGAGCAAGTTTGAATATGAATAAGTTATTTTTATACTAACAGTTTATATTGCACATATGGTGAAGGTTAAAATCTTCAGAATCTTGAATTGGCTCCAGTGAATTAATTGAAGTGAATTAGGAGTAGGTGAGGGCATGGTCACACCCATATACTCCTTTTTCCTTGCAGTATATTAATATTGACTGGGAAATTGGTCTGCAAATATCAACATATAGTTAATGTTACAGCTCATCCATATGTCTACTGCTGATCATGGCAGATTGGATATTATAAACAGATTTTGGCACCAGAATTTAGTGCCTAAACCAGCCTCATAATTGATATTTATATCAATTTCCAAATTCTGGAGACCTTTATCTTTAGTTTGATTTAATGCTTTCTCCAACTGTCCTAGAAGGAAAATATAGGAAAACCCAAATGAAACCTGATACTGCCATGGAACACAGGTGCCATAGAAACCATGGCCTTCTGTATTGTCAGTTTTACAGGGATATTTTTCATCAGTTGACTTGCTTCAGCACTTTTAAAGGAAGAGCTAGTGACTTCAGGAGTTGGGTTAACTTTGATGTCTCTGTTGTCCAATTGAAGAAAAGTGAACCTCCCCACAATATCACCAGAGTGGGTACTGCAGTGTGTTTTTTATGGCCCAAATTTAAGAACTGTTCATAAATTTTACTCAGTATGTAATGTATTTACAAGAACAGTGGGAAAGGCTAAGATTTTGTGTCATGTTACATCAGTTCAGAGACCAGCCTAGATCTTTGGCTGTGGTTTTCCAAGTCCTGAACAGTTTAACATGAGATTATTTAAAGAATAGTCTACAGCAATATAAACCTGTCCAAGTGTACATTCAATGTGGAATTCTGCTTGTTGGTTTGACAGTAAGAGAATATTGCATTAATATGTACAATAAATCGGGCTTCACATCTTTGGAACTCTCATCTGAGATATGCATGTGCCCTTTTCATTTTAACTTGCTGATACTTATTTTCTTCTCATGCAAGAAAAATTATTAATTAGAATAGTGTTTTTTAAAATATCTGATTAAAAATATTACTGATTAGAGTGGGAATGATACCCAAATAATTCTGAGACTTGAAAATAATGGACTGTTCTGCAATATTTTTGTAATCATATTTAAAAAACTCATCTTGAAAATAGCGAGAATCAAAAGTATTAATTTGTTTTTCCTTTTAGATAAATAGCTATTGTGTTAGATAAAAGAATAAACTGATCAGATAATTTATTAAAAAGTATATATAACTTCAGTTGCTTTAAAGAGACTGTTTTTAAAATTAACATGAAACATAAGAAATATTCAGTTGGAGACACTGAACTTGCATAAACTGTGTTTGACTTATAATTAAACCTGAATTAAATAATGAGAGATTAAATTAACTGGAAGACATTTTCAAAATTGCTTCCTGCTAACATTTCTGCTTTTTGTCATGTGGGAATCCAGTTTCTCATATTTCCAATTCAGAAAATTGCACCAAAGCATCTTAAAATAGCCAGATCATTAATATGAAAAGTATACTATTACTTTCATTATATTGCTATAATATTGTAAATATTATTCCTGAGTACCTTACCTTACTTAAATTTATTAATCTTGACTATTGAGCAAATGCCTTTTCTTGAGTCAAGTATGGGTACTTTGATTTTGTGTGCTGAAGAATGAAGGTTAAGTAAAACGTTTTGATAAATTGTCAGGTATTGGAGTTGTTTATATGTCATCTACCTGTTAATTATTTCCATGTGCACATATGGCTGCTGTAGGAAAATAAATGCTTCATGGTTTTAAACTGAAACTATTCCTGAGTTTGTCTTGGCACTAACCTGAGCTTAAAGCAGTCTTTTATGGTGTGCTGACACATGGAGTTGCTTAGATATATTAAACATTTTCTGTTGTTTGGCAAGTGATACATCAGCTTTTGTTCGCATAAGTCATGTAAAGATCACGCATTGCAGGAGCTGACTGTTTGAGACAGGAAAGATAGGGGATGCATAAGGATAAAAAACAACTTTACTACCCTACAGTATTTTCCATTAGAGTACAGAGGGTTGTAAACTTTACCTTATATAATGGAAAAGTACTTCTTAAAGTACTTGTTGTATTGCAGTTATGAAATGAAAATAGCGGAAAAATAAATGTTTAAAAAGAGGCCTCAAAATAGATTTCTATATTAATACTAAAAATTAAAGTCCTAATACATGTACTAGTCAAGCATTTTCTTAATGGGAGTTGAAAAACAGTCCTGAGCAATGTAACTTATGTAAAGCCAAGTTTTGTTACAGTCCATTAGCTTCAACTAAGGAATCCTTGGGTAGGAATTAATCTTTCTCTCCAACTTCTGATGTATCTGTTAGATTTCCACTCTGGAACTTTACTGCTTTTAGAGCATTCTCTAAAAAACATTTCTGTATTTGTGCAAGGAAGCACATAGATTTGGAGTATGAAAGTAAATCATCTCATGGGAAAGTGAGTGGGAATGTATGATTATTGCATTTGTTTACAAATGTCAGTGTGGTGCCATTGTGAATTTCTGTTCCATCATCTTAAATATACTACATGTAATTCTGGACTTAGAACCACAATTAGATTGGAATTTCTACGGCTGAACAATATGGTCATTAAGCGAGTCATCACATGTCCAAATTATTTTATGACCCTTTTTACCATGGTTGTGAAGCAAATCACATGATAGTTAAGTAAATCACATGGTTGTTAAGCAAATCCGTCTTTCTTCATTGCTTGTTGGAAGTCAGCTGGGAGGTTGCAGATTGCAAGCACGTGACTGCAGAACTCTGCAACTGTTGTAAATGAGATGGGTGCAAAGCACCTAAATTGCAGTCATGTGATCAGGGATGCTGCAGTGGTTGTAACTTCAAGGTCAAGCCATAAGTCGCACTTTCAGTGCAATTGTAACTCCAAACAATTGTTAAACAAATGGTCATAATAACTACCTATATGGGCAATGGGCAGATACGTAATTTTCAGACTGCCTTTTGTTGCTTTCATAAACTGGAAGTTATAAGCAAGCCAGAGGAATTGCAAGTTCCAGGCTGGCCAGCAGATAAGTGGCTGCTTCTGGGTGGGATAGAAAGCCAAGGGGGTTAGAAGGGAAGGTTGGCAAGGATGTGGATGAGAGGTGCAGTGCGGGTCAGGAAAGTGCTAAGAATTGTGTGCATTGGGAAAAATGTGAGAGTACAAGGGGATGACCAAAAGCAGGTTGGGGAAAGTGCAAGTAGGTGTGTGAAAAACAGGGTGAGCAGGGTGCAAGGAGGTGCATGAGAGGCAAGGTTGAGGAGTGCAAGGGAGGAATGCAGAAGAAGCACAGGTTAGAAAGGGTGCACAAAGATGTGCAGGATAGTTAGGGAAAGTGTGTGAGGAAGTGGGCAACAGGGAGTGTGTGCAAGGATGAGGGAAGGTCAGAAACGTTGCCTGAAGGTGTGACATAGATAAAGGAGGGTGTGAGTGAGGAACAGAGAGGGTTGAGGTGTATGGGCAGGAGTACACGAAGTGCAGAAGGCTGAAGGAGAGGGTGCAAGTAGGGGAGGACCTACCTAGCGACTTGTGACTGCTGATTTCCCCATTGACTTTCTAGAGAGGTTGGCAGGGAAGATTGCAAATCACAATCACATGATTGCTAGCTGCTGTAGGCTAGTCATAATTCTGAGCCAGTTTCCAAGCGCCTAGACACGAGCACAGGGGTGCTGGGATTGCCAGAATTCTGAGGGCCAATCATAACCACCATCTGCTCAGTGCCATCATAACACAAAGTGGATCAACTTACAAACACTGCCTTGATAGACTACAAAATTCTTTTTGAATGAAAAGGAGGAAAAAATTAACTCAAGATAGTTCTCAGGATTCTTTTCTTTTGAGATGAGTTGCAAATATGTATACAAATACAGTATAGAAGAATATTCCTGTCTATCAAAACATATAGTATATAAATTGGTATATTTATTTACGAATATTATGTCTTTATTATTTTTATAAATAACTCAAGGTGGCAAACGTATCTAATACTCCTTCTTCCTGTTTTCTGCACAACAACCATGTGAGGTGGATTGAAATAAGAGAGACCAACTGGCTTGACATGACAGCTGGCTTTCATGCCTGGGACTAGAACTCACAGTCTCCCAATTTCTAAGTCAGCATCTTAACCACTACATCAAATTGGGTTTTCTGGTTGCTGGATGAACAGAGATAAATCTTTCACTGATTTCTCTAATGTATTCACTGCTTTGCATTTAATATGGCCAGTATGGAAGAATTGTTTGGTGGGACCAAAAGAACGTGTGTAGGTTTAACTCCACAAGTGTCTCTGAAGCCTATTTCTATGTAGTCAGTGCAATACAACATTCACTTGGCTTGAAAAATTTCCTGCCGGTAAAAATTTATTTTTATTATACAGTATGGTATATGCTGCCCGTCTCACTATCCAAAGCAACTTTGATAAATAGAACATATTGCAGTGAATGGATTGACTTGATGGGTTAAAGTTGCCAATTCCTGTTTATACCAGTGCTGCTTCATCTGGGCAGTACCTATAATTTAGTGATAGTTTGAGGTATAATCAATTTTTATATCTGTTGGGATTTGAGAAGTAATGACTTCTATAGGATAGCTGAAAAAATGATGCCATATATTCAGGAAACATAGGATTTATAAGTGGTTATGGTTCTAGATTTTTTTGAGCTGACTGACAACAGTGTACGGGAGAAAAGATGGGGTAGAAATTGGTCAGTGTGCTAGTGGGATGTCAATTTATTAAGTACAGATACACATTTATTAATTTCCCAAGTTTTAAATTCCAATTTCACATAAAATAGTTGTGGTTCTAAATTTTACCAGATTATTGCTTTCTTTTAAGATTATACTACTTGGGAGAACTTGAAAGTCTGCAACTGAAGAAAGGTAGTATAAGGAATTTCATGCCCTATTTAATGTTGGCGATCTTCGAATGAGATATTGCACACATTTCACCAAGTCCATCGTCTTCTGATGTGATCAAATGTCCTTTGGTAGTTGAAGATAAAGATCAGTTTATACACACATGCTAGAAAAGCGTATAATGTTTCCACTGGTAGGAAGCTTAGGAGACTGAATAGCTTCTGTTGTGTGGGTATACTGCGGTTTACAAATACAGCAGCAGTGACTGGAAAGTCTTAATTCCAGATCATTTGAGGAGGCCCTACTTGTGTATTTTTGAAGGAAGAACATTCAGAGATGAAAAGAAAGAACCCTTCTCGTGGCAGTGAACTGTCCTCTCAGCTGCTGCAAATGAAGTTTGTTTTAAAGGGGGAAGGGTAGAGAATCAGCAATGGCTTGTGCCCCAGATTGTTAGGGCATGCCTTTTGTTTACCTGTTATGAAGCTGTTAATTCAGTGAAACAGCTGCCAGACAACTTAGAATTTAAGTAGCTGTGATAGCAGTTGAAATGTTCTTAGAGTTGTTATACTGCCAGGAATCGTGTGCATAATATTGGCTACCTTTTTTTCCTGTGATTATTGCAATATGCAGAGGCTGCTTCAGCAAATACCAATTTCTGCTTTGAGATTTATGGAACATTGCTTCTAAAAGGTTCTTTAGCACAGAAGAAAAAAATATATATTGAGAACCTGGAAGTACAGTTTGATCATCTCCAGTGGCTCTCTCACTGTGAAACAAAATGCATAAATGGTAGGTGAACAACTTCAGAGTTCTTTAATGGTTGTAATTATCAGAATCTGGACAACCACTTATGATGCATACAGTTTGTGTATATAAGCTAAAGCATAACATCAAAGCAAGAAAGGTATTTAAATCTCTCTGCAGGATGTCGTTGTGTCTGAATCTATGTGAAAACTCCTGTCATGCAGTTGCTCAGCAATGCAGTTTTTTGGTCAATAAAATAATAGTTTGCAGAGTCAAACTGCCTGTTTCTCAAAAACCCAAGAGGGGTCTACAAGCACATAATCCTCTGTAAATTTTAACCTATAGGCAGCCCGAAAACGTAAGATTGCCATTCGGAAAGCCCAGGGGAAAAACACTGAAGCCATCCGAGAGTTGAATGAGTATTTGGAACAGTGAGTGTTTTATAAGAATACACATTGTGTTGCTTTATCCTAATCTCTTTTTTAATTAAAAAGGTATTTGCATATGATTTTTTTTTCTTTGCCTCCTTGCTGTTCATTTTATAGAATCTGTTTTCTCCATCTTCCTTTGTTCAGATTTGTTGGGGACCAGGAAGCCTGGCATGAGCTCGCTGAGCTCTACATCAATGAACATGAGTAAGTTGTTTGCAAAATCTAATTCATAAAGGACTGAGAAAGGTTTTTTTTTTCCATACAAAAAGGGATTGCTTCCTTAAAGCGATTATTACATACTCTTTTTCTCAGTGGCCATCCCCCCTTTTTATAAATAGAAAAAGTTTCTAATTTTTTTTTATTAGAATGCATTTTTATGGACTTGTCAAGCACATTTTATTTAGCTGACATGTTTTTGGTAGTTTGTTTAGAAGCATTTTATTAATATAGCCTGATGTAAGTACTGATCTCCTAATTCAAGAAAAGGCATGCATGAACTGTATTTAAAATTTTATCATGCTTCTCTGAAGAGACAGGCTATATATGATTTGCAGCAGAGACGAATGTTTTCTAAACAATAAATAGACATTAAAATAAGAATGTTGTCTCTTGGATAAATAGCAGCATGCACTCAAGAATGTTGGCACTTTTCTATTGGATCTTGAATGTTTTTGTTCACTTTTTATTGCTTTAGTGACAAGAGGAAATCCCAGCATGAGCAGATTAGTGTACAGCTTTAGTTCAGTTTTTTAAATATATGGCATTAATTTTAACCTTCATTCCAAAAGGAAATTATTGTGTTTTTTTTCTCTCCAACCTTATTTCTTAGGCCAAATCTTACAGTGTTGTTGATTTCTATGCATATTTCAAGGAATAAGAAAGTACAGTAATGAGGTTCTCAGAAGAAAAGCAGCTATTTCTATAGAGTTAGCAAAAATACCTTTATTTCTCTTTTTAAGAACATAGCTTAAGTTTGCTGAGTGTTTGTTTGTTTGTTTGAATTTATATGCTACCCATCTCATAATCAAAGCAACTTACACATTGCTTTTAGTATATTAACAATATAAGTGCAATATATATATATATATATAATTTATAATTAAGAGGTTCAGAAACAACAAAATATTATTTTCTTACTAGCCTCTTGTGGCATATTTTATTAACACTTTTATTATGACATACTCTGATATGGACTATATCCTACTTTATCAGATACATGGATAAAACTGGCAGGTGGCAATTAAAAATACATATTTCTATAAATTTAATAGCAAACATAAACAGGCATATTGATAAAATTAGAAATTAAAAGTGTCCAAAATTTTGAAACAGAAGTCAAATACTTTCACAAAATCCATGAAGAATATATCTTCTAAGTATTTCCTTTTTGGTAAAAATGTTAAATAGAATCAGCTTTAATAAAAGAGATGATAAAAGTTACAGTTACATAAAAACATCATGGTTACATATATTATATTTTTTAGGCAGATTACAAATAAAGTGAACCCAAAAGGTAAAGGACAAGGGATGTATGTGGAATTTTGTGGAGGGAATGGTTGTCAGAATAATTAGTATTTGATAGAGAAAAATATTTGTAGCTCAGTTGGAATGGGGGATCTTCGATGCACTCTAAGCTTGGTTGTTGTTTTGCAGACATTTCACTACCCAAACAAGGTAACATCAGTAGTACACTGCTGGTGTTACCTAGTTTGGGTAGTGAAATGTCTGTCTGCAAGAAAGCAACCAAACTTAGAAACCATCAAACACCCCTGGAATCAGTATTTCTGATTTTTCATTCACTTCTCCCAAGCCAGATTCCAAGAAGTAGTTCAGAAAAACTTGTGAATTTTCAGGGTTCAGTAAATGCAACACAAGGGGTTAAGAATGTATTAAGATCTGCAAATGAAATTCAGTTCTGATTGCTGTAGATTATAGTTATCAAGTTGCCTTGAACAAGCAAACAAGGCTTTTGGAGTTTTGTTATAATATTTACGACAGATCCTTTGTTTGCATTTGTTTTTAGGTGTGGTTTTATAGGATAGACTGAAGTCTGATTTTGTAATAAAAGTTGTAGTTTTTGTTGTTGTTTTTAAAAATGTGGGTTTGGAACACATGTTTGGTAGTCAATCTGCGGTAACTTAACTAAGCATGCATTTTCTCTTGCTATCATATGTTAGAAGTCAGTTGCCACAGATTTTGAAAGCTTGTAGAAGTTGAGCATATTTTATAAAAAGCATGTGTTTGAAGGATGCGTATTGAATCTTCAAAATACATAAGTTTAATACATTATTGACCATATTTAGCTTACATGAATAAACTACTATAATGAAGCATCACTTAAAACCACATTGTATATGAAAGCACTATGTACTATACTGTACTTTTTATTTTTTCATAACTTTGAGAATTGGTACTATACAATCCTGAGAAATTTATCTTCCTTTTGCTAAACAGAACTTACAATTTAAATCTTTAGTAATATTGTGAACTGCAGATGCTCCAAGGAGTAATATATCTGCTTATGGATAAGATTTTTGTGAATCCAACCCAATCCAATCTTATCCAGTTTGCAAAATCTTACCCACATAAAATTCTTTGTCCCTTAAATGCTTTTTTCTTTTGCCTGTTCTATAAAAAAAATCATTTTTTTAAACATTGTTTTCATCTTGACGTTATAATAAACCCCCAAATTGTCTGTTTTTCTTTAACTCTCTTTTGTCTTTAGTTATGCAAAGGCTGCCTTTTGCCTGGAGGAACTCATGATGACTAATCCTCACAACCACTTGTATTGCCAACAGTTTGCAGAGGTGAGTATTTTAATAATAATGATGATGATGATGATGTTGGAAGGAACCTTGGAAGTCATCTAGTCCAACCTCTGCTCAGGCAGGAAACCCTATACCATTTTGGACAAATGGCTGTCCAGTCTCTTCTTAAAAACCTCCAGTGTTAGAGCATTCATCGCTTCTGGAGGCAGGTTGTTCCACTGGTTAATTGTTCTAACTGTCAGGAAGTTTCTCCTTAGAAGACAAGGAGCAGCTAGTAATTGTCCCAAAGGAATGGTCAGTTGGATATACTCTCTTCATAACTTGTTTGTCTTCTCCCGTGGCTCACATTCAATTTTTCCTACCATGATTTTCCATCCTTTTCCCCCATGACATGTCCCTTGTTTCCGAATTTTTTAAAAATAATACGTTTAATTTTTTTTAAAGTCTTAAATTTTAATTAAATTTTTAATATTTTTGTTGTTGTTAATTGCAAAGTCGTGTCCGACCCATGGCAATCCCATGGACAATGTTCCTCCAGGCCTTCCTGTCCTCTACCATCTTCTGGAGTCCATTTAAGCTCATGCTTACTGCTTCAATGACTCCATCCAGCCACCTTATTCTCTGTCGTCCCCTTCTTCTATTGCCCTCAATCTTTCCCAGCATTAGGCCCTTCTCCAGTGAGTCCTTCCTTCTCATTAGGTGGCCAAAGTATTTGAGTTTCAACTTCAGGATCTGGCCTTCTAAAGAGAGGTCAGGGTTGATCTCCTCTAGGACTGACCGGTTTGATTGCCTTGCAGTCCAAGGGACTGAAAATTAATATTTTAATTTGTTATAATCTATAAAAGGAAAGCCCATGAAATACTTTCTTGTATATTAAAGCAAACTAATCTTATATATTATGCAGTTCAATAAAACTACTAATAACTGGAGTGAATTTATTTAATTATAGGTAAAAATAAGATGCAAAATGCAAACTGGTAAATACAGGCCAAATTACTATATAGCTCTTCAGATAGACCCCTGACAATGCCTGCATTAAATATTTAACATCAACTGTCTCAACTATCTCACCTGATTAAAAAAAATTTTTTTTAGGGGGGAAATTGCCTAACTTTTCTATATATGTAATGCATGATAAATTATATATTCTTTTAAAATTGACATCTTTAGAAAGTCTGTTAAAATAAACGTTTAATTTACAGGTTAAATATACTCAAGGAGGGCTTGAGAACCTTGAGCTCTCACGAAAATACTTTGCTCAGGCATTAAAACTGAACAACAGAAACATGAGAGCATTGTTTGGTCTTTACATGGTAAGTCCAGAAAGCAGGGTGTTTTTGTTCAAAAATGATTTGCCTTGTTATTTAAATTTGGAAAAGGAAGATTTCTATTTACTAATAGAAAGGAAAAAAGATTTTCAAGATCTATTGTGACAATATCTATTGTGACTAGATTGTCTCAGTTCTTTCTCTACTAATAAGTACATTTATTTAGCATTAGTAGCATTTATATTTTCTATCCATTTTGTTATTATTTGGCCAGTATCAGCATTTTCAACGATGAATTGTAGTGGTGCCATAATCACACTATAAAATTTAAAGTGGAACTGAAGAGTTATATTTGTTAATTTATTCTACAGTACAGTATATGCAGATTCTCTGATAAATTAGTTTGCCTTAAACTAATCCATTGGAAAGATGTCTTTGAATAGCTTTGACTTTAAATGTCTTTTCAGCTATGAAACAGCTAACCTAATTTGCATGAATATGTCTTCTCTTTAAAAAAACATAAATACTGTTGCATTGTCCTATTCCATTGTAGTAATACAGTGGGCATAAACAGTGAAATAGATACTTGTAATGCTGTTTACAGGTACTTCTTGACTTACCACTGTAATTGGGATTGGAAATCTGTCATAAGTCATTATGGCCATAAGTCAAGGCACACATGTGATCCAAAGCAATTTGGTTGATGTTTTTAGCCCTTGGGAACCATCTAGAGTCACTTGTCAAGTGAGCAGCCATGTAAGTTGAACACGTACAATGAGAAAAAAAAGTATTTGATCCCCTGCTGATTTTGTATGTTTGCCCACTGACAAAGAAATGATCAGTCTATAATTTTAATGGTAGGTTTATTTTAACAGTGAGAGATAGAATAACAACAAAAAATCCATAAAAACGCATTTCAAAAAAGTTATAAATTGCATTTGAGTGAAATAAGTATTTGATTCCCTATCAATCAGCAAGATTTCTGGATCCCAGGTGTCTTTTATACAGGTAACGAACTGAGATTAGGAGCACTTTTTTAAAGAGAATGCTTCTAATATCAGCTTGTTACCTGTATAAAACATACCTCTCCACAGAAGCAATCAATCATATTCCAAACTCTCCACCATGGCTAAGACCAAAGAGCTGTCCAAGGATGTCAGGGACAAGATTGTAGACCTACACAAGGCTGGAATGGGCTACAAGATTTTTGCCAAGCAGCTTGGTGAGAAGGTGATATCAGTTGGTGTGATTATTTGCAAATGGAAGAAACACAAAATAACTGTTAATCTCCCTCAGTCTGGGGCTCTATGCAAGATCTCACCTCATGGAACTTCAATGATCATGAGAACGGTGAGGAATCAGCCCAGAACTACACGGGAGGATCTTGTCAATGATCTCAAGGCAGCTGGGACCATAGTCACCAAGAAAACAATTGGTAACACACTATGCCGTGAAGGACTGAAATCCTGCAGCACCTACAAGGTCCCCTGCTCAAGAAAGCACATGTACAGGCCCGTCTGAAGTTAGCTAATGAACATCTGAATAATTCAGAGAAGAACTGGGTAAAAGTGTTGTGATCAGATTAGACCAAAATCGAGCTCTTTGGCATCAACTCAACTTGCTTTGTTTGGAGGAGGAAGAATGCTGCCTATGACCCCAAGAACATGGAGATGGAAACATTATGCTTTGGGGGTGTTTTTCTGCTAAGGGGACAGGACAACTTCACCACATCAAAGGGACAATAGACAGGGCCATGTACCATCAAATCTTGGGTGAGAACTTCCTCCCCTCAGCTAAAGCATTGAAAATGAATTGTGGATGGGTATTCCAGCATGGCAATGACCCAAAACACATGGCTAAGGCAACAAAGGAGTGGCTCAAAATGAAGCACATTAAGGTCCTAGAGTAGCCTAGCCAGTCTCCAGACCTTAATCCCATAGAAAATCTGTGGAGGCAGCTGAAGGTTCGAGCTGTCAAATGTCAGCTTCCAAACATTAATGACTTGGAGAGGATCTGCAAAGAGGAGTGGGACAAAATCCCTCCTGAGAAGTGTGCAAACCTGGTGGCCAACTACAAAAAACATCTGACTTCTGTGATTGCCAGCAAGGGTTTTGCCACCAAGTACTAAGTCATGTTTTGCGAAGGGATCAAATACTTATTTCACTCATTAAAATGTAAATCAATTTATACCTTTTTTGAAATGTGTTTTTCTGGATTTTTTTTGTTATTCTGTTAAAATAAAACTACCATTAAAATTATAGACTGATCGTTTCTTTGTCAGTGGGCAAACATACAAAATCAGCAGAGGATCAAATAATTTTTTTGCTCCTGTAATAAATACCTTTGTTTCAGAAGTTGTTCCATGATATGCAGGACTGTTGCCAACTACAAATTCAAAGAAATTCAGAAACTAGCTTTTTGTATTTGGTGGAAAAATCTACCATATCTATGATTTTTGTCCAACAGAATCAAAATACTTATTTATTGATTCTGAATTCTGATTTAAAAGGTATTAATTTTTCAGCATAGATGATAGGACAAGATTCAATATGTATAGTATATTTTAGTTAAATTGTCAAAAAAAAATTTCCTGGTTTGTTTCCTGTTGTACTTCTAGTCTGCCAGCCATATTGTCTCTAATTCCAAGGCCAGTGCAAAAGTTAAAAAGGATAATATGAAGTATGCAAGTTGGGCTGCAAACCAAATCAATAGAGCTTACCAGGTGAGTATTTTGTTAAACTCAATAACATTTATATAATATATTAGTTTTTAAAGCTTGATGGTGCAGAAAAGGAAATTATATACAATGATAGTAAAAAGCCACTCGCATACAAATTTGGGTATGACCTATACAATACAAAATTTTTACAACCCATTCTTTTTGGAATCATGAACACACAATTAAATAATTTATTTAATTTCTGAATATGTGAATGTTGTTATCAAAAGGACATACTGACCAGGAACAGACTATCCATCCTATCTGTATTTTATGTTTTTTTTTCAGTATTACATCTTTAAAAATCATTTTTTCCATATTTCATAAGACACAAAGGTATTTGCTAACTGTTAGTGTCCTTTATTAAATGTGCTTCCAGTAGGCTTTATTAGTTTATTTATTACATTATTTTATTTATCTTTGGTCTATTTTCTTGGGAGTGTACCCTAATTTTATCTACATCAACCATGTAGGCAGAGAGATAATGAAATTCTCCAAAGTTCACCCAGTGAGCTCCCCTGTTCAGTCCATTGCTTTGATGTATTCTTGTCTTAAAAACCTGCCTAGAATTTTTGATTAATCAGGTTTGTATATTTGTAAATGGAAAACTATTAAGGCCATATATTTTGAACAAATATCTAACACTATGTTCAAACAATCAAAATGATACCTCTGTACATGGAAATCACCAATTGCCTATATTATTGTTAAAAGGAGGCAAAGGAGCTCAATTATATTATCAAAGACATGGCCAGGTGCTGACTGCGGAACAGATTATGAATTGTTTATATGCAGTTTCCAAGTTAAGCTGAAAGAAGAAGAAAGCCAGTCAATTTCCACAAAATGATCTTGAATATATTCCTACCATTTTAAAGAAGAATATTGGAAATTGCTTTGAAGTCCTGAATCTCACTAATAGAGAATCCAAGAAATGATGAAATGAGCTTAAAGAAACTGTGAAGGATAAATGTGAAAAGAAACTGCCAGTAAGGAAGAAAGAAAAAAAGCTAACTAGATATAGGAAAAAACTGTGAAAATTGCAAAGAGTAGACAGGACAAAAACCTTAGAAAAGTACTTAAAGAATTTCAAACAGTTCTTAGAAGAGATAAGAACCATTATTATAATAATAGCTGTAAAGGCATTGAACATGCTGATAAAAGAAAATATTTGAGGATGGAAGGAGACCTAGAAAAACAAGAAAAGTCTTTCAAAAGAACTCTGAATTTAAAAGCGACTTGCAACTTGAATTCGTAGGCTAAAACAGAGGTCACCAATCTTTTCTTTCTGGTGGCCCGGAGGGAAGGGAGAAGCTGGGAAATGTGTGCGAGTGAACGCATGTGAATGAGCCACGCGCACCCGCACAGTGCTAGCAGCTCTGCGTGGGTGCTAGCCACCGCTGCTAGCACCTGTGCACATGTGCAAACGGGCCTCACACACCTGCACGAGCTAACAGCCCCATTTGCACAAGTGCTAGCTGCTCCCCAATCCGGACTCCAGATGCCTTTTCCAGGCTGCTGCTGCCCAGATTTGAGCCCGGCGAATGCTTCTGCAGGCCCCTCCATGGCACTGGATCGGGGGGCGGAGGGGTCACGGAAGCATTTTCAGGTCTCAAATCCAGGCGGCAGCAGGAATCACGGCAGAGATGGATCTTATCCAGGTGAGTCCGGCGCAGCAGGAAGGGAAGGAAAAGCATGTGGTATCTTAGTGGGTCGGGTAGGCCTTGGGAGCCTGTTCCAGCTAGGCCCTTCATGGCCTTCCCCACCCTGAGATACCTCATGTTCACTTAACAAGCCACGTGCATTTTAACGAGCAAGGGTGCATTTTAACGAGATTCACACTATGAGTTTTTGAGTTATGAGTGGAATGGGCAGGCTCCATGACGCTTGTAACTCGAGGACTACCTGTATATCTACAAAGATCAGAATTGTGCCAGTTGTGGTATTTTCGTGACACTCATTGGAAGCGAAGGTTGGACTTTAAAGAAGCAGAATAGGAAGAGTATTGACGCTTTTGAATTTTCATATTGGAGAAGACTTCTAAGAATACTGTGGACAAATAAACAAATAAATAAATAATTATAACCAGTAAGAATACCTAGAATTTGATGGGAGAAACAAACTAAGGACTGTAATAGGATCTATGATAACGCAACCAGAATGATTGGATAGAAAAGAAATATTATATTGATGTGATTATTATTTTTAGAATATTTGGCAAAATTATATATTTAATTGTTATCTATCAAAACAAAAGAATTGTATTAACTCAACGTTTGCAAAAGAGGATATTTTGGGAAAAGAGGAAATCAACTAAAACCATTATGTGGATTATGGATTATAGAAATCAATTGTTAATGATTGTTTTACAAATGTAACCCAGACAACACACTATTCACCAATTATTGTGATTTATGTTTTAAATAAATCAATAAAATATATTACAAAAATAAATAAATAAATAATCAGTGGATCATCAAACAAATCAATCCAGAGTGCTCACTCAGGACCCAAATGATCAGGCTCAAATTATCCTACTTTGAAGGCATTATATGAAGACAAAGTTCTTTGAAGACTCTAACGCTGAGAAGGGTGAAAAGAAAGAGAAGAAGAGGACAAGATAGATGAAAGCAGGGACAGATTATCATGGAAAAAATCTTTATGGTCATTAGGAATTGACAACAACTTGATAGGACATAATCAATTGTGAATAATGCATGGAATGCTTGTTTGATTGATTTATATTGCCCGCTGGTTCTTGAATAACTGAAGATGATTCCATTCCAGCATTCTTGGTTTTGAGAGCCTTAGCATCAGCATATTGCAGTGTGCATGAATCACAAGTGTTTCTTCATATTGCTATAAATGTCTTCAGTGGTTGGCATTCCTATAATGGTGCACTGTAGCAGTTTGGTTTAAAAGGTAAAAAAATTATCAGAATTTAATAAAACAGCCTTTTGCTTTGGGCTAATTAGTTCATTCTTAATCATTGACAATGGATGCTCTGATTTTATACTAATAAAGGCCAAATATCAAGCACACCGTTTCATAATCTGCAAATTAGTTTTCTTAGTGTAAAAAGTATCTTTATGAAATGGACTTTGAAATAATATCTGTTAGTAGTTTGTAAACCTGCTTCTAAAATTCAATTCTGTAAAGTTAAATACTAAGAGTTACTTATATACATTATTTCTAAAGTCAGCAGTACAAATTATAAAATGCAATTTATATTTTATAACTTTATGATCCAATTCCAAAACTATTGGGAAGTTATGTTGGAAGTGAATCAAAATTATCCTTAACTGGCTTTTATTTCAGTTGATATTTAACAGAACAGTTGCATTGTTACTCAACTAAAATATACTAAAAACAAATGTCAGCATTTCTTTGTGACTTCGTGTATTTATGATATATTGCATACTTCAGCTGTATTTTAACAGAAAAGTGACAGATACCACATCCAGCTAAAAACTGAAAGGGGAATTTAAATATGTGGGATAAAATTACATAAATGAGAAATTGGCTTGAATATCAAATTTATACACACACCCCACCCTGACAAATGTTGCCATAAGAAACTGTTGAACAAATACCAAACTTTGCTTGACCTGAGTGTTCCATGTGGTTTGCCTGGTCTATATATTTGTATTTAAAGCTATTAAAAACGTAAAAACACAGGAAATGGAGTGAAAATGCCGGTATTGTTTCTTTGAAACATCTCTGTTGCTGAAGGTTGCCACCTTGTGATTAGAGCAGTGAAGTATTCATGTTCAAGAACTGATGTTTTAAGGAAGTAAATAACTACACCGATAATAGGTTAGATTTATTGGATCCTGAAGCATTCCCGTATGTACAGAAAACCTGTGTACTGGTTAAAGCGTCAAGAGGGAAACTGGGAGGCCATGAGTTCTAGCCACGCCTTAGGCATAGAGCCAGCCAGGAAACCATGGACCAGTAAGCTATTGGTGATCAGCTATAAGAAAGACACAATGACAAATCACTTCTGAGAAACCTTGCCAACAAAACTGCAGGGATTTTTCCATGCAGTTGTTAGGATTCAAAAATTGACTTGATGGCAGAAAAAGTTGTAAAAGACGAGGCATGTCATTACATTAGAGCAAAACTTTTATATAATTAAATGACCTTAACGTGGTCAGAGTACCACTAAAATAGAATGAGATGTTGAAACACCTAAATCTACAGTAGATTTTTTGTTTTGTTTTGCTTTCTATAACTACTCTGTGACTTTGTTAACCATAAATTCAAATTAGAAGTACTTTTTCTTATCTTCACTGTATTAATTTATTAATATATGCATAAAAAATTATGTTTAAAATTTTTCATTGCCTTTTTCTGTTGAGCTGGAACCAATTACCAAATTTTTCTGTAGAAATACCATTTTGAAGAGTGCATGTTTGAATAATCTGGTCATTTCGCAGGATTCCTTAACTGCGCTAATCGAGACCTACCGGTACATTATAGTATATAGGGCAGTCTTCAGCTTACAACCAGAATAGGACTGGAAAATTCACCAGTAAATAGTACAGACGTTAGGCGAGACATCATGGGACCACATCCAGTTTTACTATCTTTTTTCAATTGGTTGTTAAGTGAGACATCACATGTTTGCAACTGGCAATCTCCTTCCAGCTTCTTCATTGACTTGTTGGAAGCTGGCTGGGAAGGTCACAAATGATGATTATGTGACCAAGGGATGTTACAATTCACAGAAATCCAGGCTGGTGGCTAAGCACTGGGATCATGATGGGACCACGGAGACACGGCAATAGTTGTAAGTGTGAGGGCTAGTTTTAAGTCATTTCTTTCAGCACCAGCATAACTTCAAACAGTCAGTCACTAGACAAATGGTTGAACTGAGCCACTGCCTTTGGTAAGGCAGTATAATCTATCTCACAGTATCAATTGCTGCAAGAGAGTATCCTTTTACCCTCAAACCCTGCTGGTTGGCTTCTTAAAAATACTTCGTTAGCTATTGCATACTAGAATGTTGGATTATATAACCCTTGATCAGATCTTACAGGATTACTCTTATACTCATGAAGAGTTGATAATGATGAGCTGTTTTGCCAGCATTTCCTGTAATTCAATAAGATGTCGGAGCATTCTCAGATGTTTCTTTGTAGCCATATGGTATAGATTTAAAGCACGCACAAACATCTCACCTAAAGAGCATGCCAAATTACAGAATGTATATAATTTAGAGGCATTTCTTCACCAGCCATGTATACCAGTCGAACTGTATGAGAGAAAGTGCACAGTTAGAATGGTATAATAAAACATAATATAGTAAACTAAAATATATCTGTTACTTATATTGAGAACTTCTTTTCTGTCTCTGTGTGTGCAGCACCAAAATAAAATATAGTGTATTATTGTTTCAATTGTGCCAATGCCACTCAGTGGAGCAATTTTCAGATTAACAGGAAATGTTATGCTTTTTAATACCTCATATTTGTTTTAATGTATTTAAAGATAGAATAAATCAAAGAATTCTGAATGCATTTTGGCAATCAGCTTTAGTTCCCTTAAGTTGAAATCCAAATCAAAAATTATCCACAGTATCTAGTCAATTTCCGAAGAGAATAAAGGGGAGTATTCATATGTAACCTTTTGCTTTTCTTTTAATTTCTTTAAAATCTTAGGCTATAGAATCAAGATTCCTCTAGTTTAAAAATATTCAGAAGGTCAAAAGCAGGTTAATTTTATTACCTATAAAATTACCTTTTGTCGATGTTCATAAGATGTTTAATAAATTAATTATAAGAAAACAGTCTCTTATTGAGGGCAATATTACATACATGCATACATACATACATACATACATATATCTGTGTGTGTGTGCACGCGCACACACACGCACACACATGCTTATTAACATTTGAGAACATATTACAGTTACACAGACAAAATAAAACTCATTCATTCATCCACAGAAAACTGGGAGAGTAAAGTATGAATGCTATGATCCCAGGCAATTTCTTGCCTTTCTTTTACTGCCCCATTCCTCACCTCTGATAATCATTTTAAAGTGTTTAAACACTTTTAAATGTAGAGCTTAAAATTTATTCCTTTATAATCAAATTTTGCTGAAGTATATTTAAAATGAATTTTAAATAAATAATAAATAAGCAAACAATTTTTTATATAATTATTGAAACCTAGAGCTATCTCTTACTATTGTACTTTGTTTGCATGTGTTTTTCAAAAGATTCTTCTTTGCTTTTGTTTTGCATAGTATGCTGGCCGTAGTAAGAAAGAGACCAAGTATTCACTGAAAGCTGTAGAAGACATGTTGGAGGCCCTACAGATCACTCAATCATAAACCATAAGAAGGATCACCGGTGATAGATATTTTCCTCCAGCTCCATTGCTAAAATTCTGTCCTCACTGACTTAAAAGTTAATTTTAAATGCCTCGTTATGTTAACAGTGGTTTCATGTCAGTAAAAGTTGCTACCGTGAATGATGTGTTTTATAAAAATATAAGATTTCTATTTATTGCTTCTATGATGAAAAATCACTGCAGTTAATGAAAAGAGTAAATTCTATTGAACATAAGTCTCTTCAGACCTGGTAGAGTAAATTTTTAAGTGATAACTTGATGTAGAAATGATAAAGCAACATTACTTCTTGACTTATGGAAGTGTAAGGGGCAAAATAGGAGTCGCATATGGTACATAAACTGTTTTATAGATCAGACTTAAAAGTTCACCATAATGATCAAATAATATTCCCCTGGGTATTTTGTATTGCACAATATTATTAGTATGACTGCAGCACTGATTTGTAAAATAGTAGTGGCAAGTGCTAGAGTTTGAGCTTTATGGGTTGAGTATCACTTGTAAGGGAAACCTTATTGTTGAAGTTACTTGCTGCTGATTCTAACCTGTACCTGAAATGGCTCCTCTATTTAGATAAATGAAGACATTCTTAAATATAATGATAATTAATTAAGCTTGTATGCCACCCAACTCGTAACAGTCAAAAGAAATTACACTAAAACTAATAAATGATAAAAGATGGCAAGAACAAAATGGAATTAAGTCATGCTGAACCGACTTTAGTAGCAGCTGTAGAAAAGGAATATATCGTTTGCCGATTTGGATTCTCTTCAAAAGTGCCGAGTTATAAAGATTTTATTATGCCCCTATCTGAAAATATATAGAAAAATATACTCAAGGGGATGGTCAGACATTGAATTTCTACCATGGCCTTACTAATGGATTCCCACTTTACAACAAATTGTGTTTATTATTGATTGTGTTGCTGGCTTTTCAGTGTAAAAGGGCTTTAGGGAGAATAAGTAATGGTTTCTTTTCATTTGGAACATTTTAAAATATTTTGAAAAAGCATTTGCTTCCTTTCAGATTTTCTGAATTTGTTCATATCTTTAAATATCTATGCTTTCTAGGGAGAGAGAAAAAGAAGTTATATGCAGCATTCCGGTGTGGAAAAGTAATCACTGCCTTAAATTCATAACTATTTAGCTGCAGTAACTACAACATCCTTTTCTTATAACTGCTTGTTGCATAGGAATTTTTGCTCATTCCTCCACAGCAAACAGCTTTACTTCATTTTTAAAAATGCCTTTGTGCTTTCTCCACATTCTTTGTACAAATGCCAATTTCCATGCAATAGGAACTTAGTTCAAAAGAACGAACATCTGAGAATGTGAAATCTTGTCTCAAAATTGAGTTATCTCAAAATTCAATTAATACACATAATAAATTTCAGAATGACATCTGTTGTAGGACATTACAAACAGCTGTTTTAATGGAATAATCTCATTGCCTATCTAAGTTGATGATTCACTCAAGTCTTTTCTGTATAAATGCAATGGAATCCAGTAAATCTGAAGTGCTATTTTTGACTGAATAAATCAAAGATGTATTAAAGTTCTTAATACTGATAATTTGATACTGAATACTGTTAGGTGAAATGGGAATCTAGGCAAAGTAGGAATTTCTAATAAATTTATTCCATTCAGTCAATGTGCATATCAAATTTATTCATTGCAACATAATTGATCAAAAGTAATTATGGGATGCTTGATTGTAAGATTCAGTAGTTACTTGTAGCAAGCTAGGTATTTCCAAGGCTAGAACTAGATCTCAGCTTGAAATACAATTTTTTAAAAACATTATTAAATGTTTTATTAAATGTTTCATAGGGCCATTCAGTCATAAAAATATTACATTGAACATATCCCAGTTTTGGGGGGTGAATTCTTATCAAGGTGCAAAAACAGAGATTTCCAAATATTTAAAAGACACAGTTTCTTTCATCTATGTCATATGAAGTTCATCTGCCAAGCTGCATTCAGATTGAAGAGTCAAAAATTGTGTTTAAATTCTAGTCTTTATTTTAGATGTAAACAGTGCTTGGATTAATAATAGATATTAGAGTATGTGTTTTAAACTTTTACTGTATTCATATTTGTTCAACTGAGAAGAGGGGGAAAGATCAAACGATAGGGATTTTTAAAAAAAATGGATTAGAAATCAATTTGATATTTAAATTAACATTAATTTAATTAATTGCAAGTAGTCCTTGTTTAATGACTCATTTAATAACCATTTGCAGATAACAATAGTGATGAAAAAGTAACTTTGACACAAGTTCTTGCATATACCTTCTGATGGCGATAGGCAGTTGAGAAGTATGAAATATACATTTTTAAAATAATGTATGACCTCCACAGGTCTAAAGCAAAGGAAAACTGAAATCAAGTGATAAGCACAGTTGTGGCTTCAGTTAGCGACCGCTTCCCTTAGTGACCAAGTTGACGGTCCCAATTGTTCTTGCTAAATGAGGGCTACCTGTAAACCAAACATTTGTTCTTCAAATGTACCATTCCAGGATTAATTGATACAGCTTAAGTGATGTGCTATTAGCAAATTTTAACTGCAAAAGTGCATTAGGGCTGCTCTTGTTACTTAATTTTCTCATCACACCCTTTCTAAATTCTCTGAGATTGTTGTCACATCAGAACTTGGCACTTGTCGGGGGATAGGAAAACTGGCAGAAAACTAATCACCAGTTAAATGAATGCATTCTGTATCCCACACCCCATCTCTTCCTGTTTAAATACCATAGTTTGGGCATTTTGCTTTTTGAAACATGTTTAACTTGGCCCTGACTTCATGGTGAGGGCTAGCTAAGGAAGGGAGAAGACTGTAATGATGCATTGGCAAGATTTTAAGCTATGACATAAATCATTTAAAAAAAGATATTTTCTGACAGTATAAGGGGTAAGCCAGATTTTCTTGTCTGCACAGAGAAAGGTTAGGTAGAAGTCTACAGGGTTAATTTTATCTGAGGGATTTGTTCTGCATATAATCAATATGCAGCTTGAATAAACATATTAATAAATAAAAATTGCTGTTTCCCAATCAATGTGGGATGGGCACTGGCGTTCAGTTTGATATGCCTTTTATACTCAAGATTATTGACACACCTTTAATTGGTTAAGCATTCATTAGTTTGCTTTGACTACATAAATAAAATATTTTGTTTGAAAAATTGTAGAAATAAATTACAAAACATGTAGTTTTAGTGACCAAGTTTTAAAAATTATTGTTTGTATATTATTGATTCATCAGACCCGACTCTTAATGCAAATGGAACTGAACTGAAAAAAAAAAAACCAATGTGATAAAAAATTTGGACTTTTGTTTTCTCCTTTCTCCATTTAAAAAATGTGGAAAAAAAAACTATGTGGGTGAATGCCTCACAAGCTATAGTCCAATTCCCTGGATACATCAAAATAAATAGGTTCCAGTTCATTAATGTACTTTGTAACTAGACTAAGTGTATATAAGTCTACAAAACTAATATATTAAAATTGTTGAAATATCTTGTATCTTCCTAGATGTACTTAGCTGAGGTTTTGGGTTCTGATAAGGATATAATGGTCTCTCCAGTAGTCAGTAAGCCTTCCTGATATACTAATTTCAGTGCATCTTCATCACTGTCCTTCAGATATTCTTCCAAAGCCATTTCTTCTTCAACCATCTGATGTACTTGCAGCATTCCACGCCCATCTATTTGCCTTGGTAGATAAAGTCTGTCAATGACACTGCGTGGATGAAGGGCATGATTCATTGTCATTATTTTTCTGGTCTTCCTATCCATTGCTTTTAGTTCTGCTTGAGTCCAGTCCACTATTCCAGCTGTGTATCTAATGACTAGAATTGCCCAGGTGTTGATTGCCTTTATGGTATTTCCTCCATTGAGTTTGGACTTTAAGATCTTCACTCTCTTGATGTATTCAGCTCTAATCTTTTTCTTGACTTCAGTGTGCTTGATGTTGTCAGCTTGAAGGATACCCAAGTATTTGTAGTAATCTTCCTCATCCAGACTCTTAATGTTATTTTTGTGAAGTATCTTGATTCCTTCAGTTTTCATTATTTTTCCTTGTTTGATAGTAAGTGTGGCACATTTGTCCAAGCCAAACTCCATTGCAATATCTTGGCTATATATAAGGACAGTATTGAGCAGCGATTCTATTTCAGATGATGTTTTTCCATACAGCTTCAGATCATCCATGTACAGGAGGTGGGATAGTCTGGCAGATGTTTTTGATGTTTGATAGCCATGTCCTGAGTTATTCAGTATTGTTGACAGAGGAAACAGTGCAATAACAAAATAGTAATGGTGATAATGAATCTCCTTGAAATATTCTCTTGATGTTAACCTCTCCCAATCTCTCACCATTGACCTGCAACTGTGTCTTCTATTGTGCAATCGATCTTTGCACAAATTTTCTGATGTTTCTACTGACACCTGTTATTTCTAGGCACTTGATTATCCAGTCATGTGGCAGAGATGATGATGATGATTTTATTATTTTATTACATCCTCAGTTTTTCACGCTCAGTTTCTCACGCTCATTGTAATTCTACAGCTTATTATTATTTTAGATTTATCACACTTTCATGGACTTGTTCCTTGCTATTACTCATGTAATGAATAGAGCAATTCACTAAGCAACGAAATCTCAAGAAACTCTCCAAAATATTAATCTACCTGAAAGATTTTTTTAAATGCAGGAATACTTGAAAAAGCTTTATACTTAGGTACTTTAAAAAGTTGCTATGACTTTGATTAAATTTTTAGCTTCTCTCTCTCTCTCTCTCTCTCTCTCTTTTCACCCCTCCTTTTCCTCTTTGGAAGGGGGCATCTTGGGGTTAAATTTGGATTCATAGTTAAACTTCTTTTCAAGTTTATTCACAAAGAGGCATTGTCCAATATACTATGATATATTTATGGTGGGAGCTGCCTGTAGCAGAGATGAAATTAGAAACTTCAAAATTTTGTCTCTTATGGTGTTTTTTTAAAAAATGGTTTTCCAACTCCGGAAATCAAGCACCATGAATTTTTAAAAATTATCATTAAGGCCGCTCTTCCATAATTTATGCTAAGAGGTTTTGGCCTGTTTACATATTTTGGAATTTGGCGAAATTAGTAATGTGATAGTCCATTTTTAGTGAACATATCAAGCAATAAATGCTTGATGCTGTTTGGGAAGAGATCTGTTCTTTTCTCCGGGGGAGGGCTTGGTGGTGGCCCTGAAATGGCCAGGATCTTCCAGTCCAAATTTTGTAGTGTTCGGCAGTATGTTTTAACTCTGAACTAAACCAGATGCTGATCAGTTCTGTTCTTATTATCGACTTGATGTTGAGATGGTAACCAGATCCTTATTTGCAATGTTAACATTTGGAACAAATTAACAGCAGTTAGGCTGAAATGAGAAACCCCCACTTTACTAAAGAGGTTCAGTACATGTAATGCTGTAAAATCAGAAAGCCTGAAGTGTGTTAACTAGAAATAAATAAGTTAACTGTCTGTCATGCGTTCCTCACAAGGGATATGTTGTTTCCACTTTCCATGCCCATTTTTAAAAGGATTTTTAAAGCGCTGTTATGAGAGTGAGATCAACCACTATCATCTGGAGCAGTCTGATTCTTCAGACAATTTCTGTCTCATGTTCCCACCATATAGGAAAATGGGAAACAACAACAACATAACTCCAGAGTTAGATTTCTGTTGGTTTTAATGTAACCACCAAGAGCAACAACAACTCACTCTCTCTCTCTCTCTCTCTCTCTCTCTCTCTCTCTCTCTCTCTCTCTCTCTCTCTCTCTCTCTCTCTCTCTCTCTCTCTCTCTATCTATCTCTCTCTCTCTCTCTGTGTGTGTGTGTGTGTGTGTGTGTGTGTGCAAAACAAAACATTAAAGTTTCTGTCTCCTTTTTATCTTTCTATCTAAAAATGTTTGCAATGAAGGAATAAAAACAGTTTTGTAATGCTAGCTTATTTCCTTGGTTCCTCTGTTGACACTTTGTATTTTCTGAGAATATTTCAGCCTATTTTGCAGCCTTTAGAAGTTCAAATTAATTTCAGCAATCAGTAACATTTCTTCCTTCTAAGACAGGAATGGGCAACCTATGTCACAGAAATCTTTTTGGTATAGTTACCATGTATGACTTGGTCACCGAAATAAAGATTTTTTTTCCTCTAAAAATATTATAGAGATTAAAAACCATTAAAATCTGGCTTTTTTCACAGGCATTAGGAACCAGAATATTGTGCCATTGAGTGGCTTAACAGCACCCACACTCAAATGGTTAATATCCAACTCCATCAGACAATGTGCATCACCACTGGCACATTGCATCCCAGTTCTGGGCACTGGTTTCCAGTACTTAGCAATATCATATTACTCCACATTAGAAGACAACGTGCTCTTGTCCAACTATGGTCAAAGACAAGGCCCTCCCTATTCGCCAGGATAATGCACAGTCCATCATAAGATTGAAATCCTGTAGGCCAGCATGGAAAACCAGGTATTCACTTAACATCTACAAGTCTAACCTCAAGAATTCCTGGAGAGAGGAATGGTCCAAGTTACCTTCTTGTGGCCTGACCATTAGTATCCCTGTACCAAATCATCTGATTTTAACCTACCTCGTTCTGGTTGAAATTGAAAGA